AAGGAGACCAGGTCCTTAGGGGATCGCTGCTGCCGGCCGCCGCTGCCGCGCCGGGCCTACGCATGCAGAAGGGGCCTAAGCATGGGTCAGCAACAAAAACAAGTTGCAAGTTACAACCAGCTTCTTCAAAGTGACCTTTTCCAGGCCTGTTTGTGACCTCAAACAAGGGGATCGAAGGTCACTTTGAAGAACCAGGAACTGCCAAGGTTGGCTTCAACGAGCTTTTGAGGAAGAGGGACTTACAAAGCCTGCCCAGCCCTAGAGAGTGGAAGTATACCTTCGGAGATTGCACCTGGCAGGAAGCTTGCTACAAACAGCTATGGATGGGTGATGGTAGGATGACATCTTCCAGCACCTACCTGGTGACGAACCCTTCCATGACCAACCAAAAACACCTTGGACGCACCCTCGAATCACCGTGACCGCCCCAGCTTCGCATCACCCACCGTGACTGACCGTGCGCTCCGGCGAGCGGACCGGGGGGGCACGTGGGGCCGAGCCTTCCCACAGCACCACCGACCCGTCCCACCGTGCCGGGTGCTCCCTTTGGCTCCAGGTCGGTCGGAGCGTCGGCTTGAAGGGCGAAGCTGGAAGTGGTGGCCAGCAAGTGCAAGCACGAAGGCCTCGACCCCATTGGGGTGGCGGGAACCCCGCGACGACGTGACGACGAAGGCCTTGACCGGCGATGGGGTTCAGGCCGCTGAAAGCATCCAGAAGTGTGACGACCAAGGCCCCTTTGGATGAAGGAAAACTAGTTCCCATGTAAGTCACTCGGAGCTTCAGTAGCGTTTTTAGTCTTTTGTCCGGTTGATGACGACCAACAACTCCAAGACGGTCAAGTCTATTGGCACCCGACGGCCGCAAACCAGATCAACGTGGCACGGAAGCGTTCCGGTGGTCAGGTGGCACAGGGCCGTAGAGGGCCGACTCTCAGAGGACAACGGACGCGTCGTCGAGTTGAGGGTGGAAGTGACGCCAACAGCATGAAGTCGAGTGGAAGAACCAACAGCATTGGCCGTTTGACAGTCCAAGTCCCCCCTACTGGTGCAAAAATGTCCTGACCGCTTCTATAGAAACAAGGTAGCTCCTGGCATTACTACTAGTAGCAAGCAGCTACTAGGTGGAGGCCATCGCTATTAGGTTGGAACCCATCGCTACTAGTAACAAGAAGCTATTAGTAGCAATGTACCTAGGCTAGCGTTTGTCAATCCGAGAGGCCAAGCGAAGGACTTCTCGCACACGGCCATCAGTGCATTCCACCCCACCAGGTCAATGTGGACATCGCCTGCATCATTCCAGTTCCATGTGCAAACAGTTGAACGTTTTTCCATTGAATTGAAACCAATAAATCCAATAAGTGAACACGTTTTGCTGAGTCAATGGATTCAATATCTGCATATATTATATGTTAGCCGTTAGCCGTGAGCCTAACTCTTGCCACTGTTGCACCACAAACATTGACATGCATATAAATGTCTGATGTTCTTTCACATGTCCAACGCATGTCGGCTGACAAACGGTCAGTGTACACTTCTCTGGCTAATATGGTCACTACTAAGGTCACTATATATAGCACTATTCCCGCATTGGTTTGAACATGTTTCATGTTCTTACTTAAGCACAACCAATGATTCTTGGCTGCTATTGAAAATCCAAGGCTTAGGACAAGCACTGGATGGCCAGTGAACTGCAAAGCAAACAAAACACTTCGTTCTCCACCTGCACCTCGTTGATCTCACCCCATGTTTGACCTCATCCACCTCACCCACCCACACTGTCCAAGGAGCTCGCTTTCAAAATCTCAAGGGCTTCTCTCCAAAGCTTCCCGTGCGAGCACAGCTTCATGAGGATGCTGAAGGTAAAGTGGTCCATCGACAAGTCCGCCCAATCAGAGCTGGTAGAGCTCAAGCCGCTCTTGTTGCCTGCAGTCCTTCGGTGGATGGAAAGCAAGCGCCTGTCATAAGGTAAGGCCAGGTATGGCCAGGTGACAAAGCACGACATAAACAAACATACCAAAAAGCCACCGGTCACAACGCTCACCCAGAACCCGTGAGTCTTCAGAGTCTGGGGATGTGGCTGTTGGCCTGGGGTCGAAACGAGTGGACATCCTGAAGCCAATTCAAACGGGTAACGGGCGGTGTCAAAGGGGTAATTCCTATATATGGTAACATCACATCCCCCCCGCGTCACCCAAACAGGTGTGGGTTCGGAAGCCTCCCGGTGTCAACCCAAGCAACCCTCAGCGCCCTTAGCATTTCAGAGGCTCTGAAGCTGCGAGAAGAAGTGCAAGCCGTATTCCCACCGGTTGCCCTTCTCACACGCGCTCAGCGTGGAGTTGAAGCTGACCATATCCTGAGTGGAGATCGGATGAGATCGGATGAGACTGCCTCTGCCCATATGTAGTCGTTCCCCTCGAAATTTACAAAGATTGCGGTGGGACAAATGCGGCTCACTGGGTCGAGCCATGTTGGAAGGGCCGGAAATGCGGACCCTAGAGCCTTTCGTGCGTCTAGCCGCGTCTGTCAAAGAACAAGCACAGCAAGGCTCAGTAAGTTGCGGAAGAACACCTCTGGAACATCTTGTAAAAAGCCGGTCTAGGATCTACAGTGCTTATTACCACCTGTTTGTAGAGGAAAATGGTCATTGGGGCCATGTTTCACCTCCATCATGATTTCACGGACCGGACCGAGTGTATTTGGGGGCACGGCATACGTTGCCAAACCACCCCCGGCATCCCCCGGCCATTTCGCCGGCATCTTTTTCAGTGTCTGAAGCTCTCGTAAGACCTCTAGGAAAGGAGGGGAACACCATCTTTGATGGGGAACAGCGATCCAAGACCATACGAGTACCCAACGCTCAAGCCAAACGGCCATTTCTTCATGGCGGGCACACATACTGAGTTCCTGTGCCAGCCTAGAATGCAATTCCCAATAAGGTTAGCCAGGTGTCAGGTGTGGTCTGATCCCTCTGCATGTGGTGAATGAGATTGAGGGCGCGTTGCCACTGGGCCTTCTTGACAAAGGCTCGCAACAAGCTGTTGCCTTGGTCATCCGCTGCAGAAGCGAGAGCTTTGGCCTTGATGGCAATGGTACTGGAATCTTTGCATATATAGTTGCTATTAGTTGCTATAAGGAAAGCACGTTTTGTTGTTCCATACAGCAAATTTATTGTGGGACCATGCAGGCACCTTGGACAACATGGCCAAACCAAACGCCAAGTGGCAAATCGTGACATCGCATGCAACATCTTGAAACTAAATCTGTCTGACTCTCTATAAACATCTTAGTGCTGAAGAGTATCAAGATCCAACGCACAACAGAAATCCCTTGCCCGCGCTCAGATCGCGGCAGGACAAGACAGCCCGATTCTTCGCCATCGCTGATCTTAAACAGCAGGATGTGGCCAGCCAAACAACTGTGCACGATTGACCCCGAAAGGGCTTTCTCCATGAACAGCTTGCGATGTTTCTCCAAGCCTCTAAATATACTATATATATAATATCCAATATGTATTTTCTCCCAAATTCATCAACAAATTTTTGCTTCGATAATGTTTTGGTCAGCAGTGCTCATGATCTTTGTCCCCAAGGACCGCCACGACTGGCTTCGAAGCGTATCCAGTGGATCCCAGTGACCATTATATAAGGAACCAGGGTTTTGTTCGGTCTATGGTTTTAGTCTTTGGAACCACAGGTCACTAGCTAGAGTGGTCACTGGATGCCCTGGGTGTATATACATTGGCTTTTCCGTGGCTGATTGCTGCCCATGCTCTATCTTCAGTTGGCTCCAAAAAGGCCCCAGTCAGACTCTGCGCAACATCCATCGCCAATCACCGTCCGACTCCAAACGATCTTCCAGAGCTTTTGGAGCCGACTCAGCCGACTCTGCAACGCGTTCGTGGCCACGTGGCCACGAATGCCCGGCCAACGAGTTCCGCCGTGGGGTGGGAAGCACCTGGTAGCTTTGTAGCCCACATGAGAAAAAAGGCCCCATCCTGGCCGGCTCCAGCTTATTTCAGCTTCATTCAAGTAAGTGTAGAAACCGCACAAGGTTCAAGTGGCCTTCCTCAGCTGCGATGATCAATGCCGCTGGCCCAGCTGCAAATCCACATCATTGTTACATCCAGCTTCTAGCAAGATAAATTGGTGCATTGGGGCAGCGCCGTTTGCACCTCTCCGTTCAGATCATCTCGTCTTTGCAGCTTCCTGTCCCTCATCAGGCGAGCAAATAAGTTCTTGATCATCAACGTATATCGAAGATTATGGAAGCGTGGCCTTATAGTCTTACAGGGATGTCGTCAGGCAGCTGCCGGACCGATCACAATGGCTGTGCCGAAGCCGGCAAGGAAATTACAACCCGCTCAGAGGGCAGGGAATCCCTTCACATCCGGACTCACGCTAGAGAACCCACACTCCGCCATGAGATAGATTTCATCCTAGTGGATTTTGAAGATTTGAAGGCTTCATCTGAACTCCGACACTAATTACAAAGAGCCCTTGAGCCTCAGAAGCCATGTCCAATCGGGACCTTTATCAAAATTTGAAGCATTTGCCAGTCGCGAATGCGAGAAATCAAATGCAACTCTTGAATAAAAAGATTGCGGGGAGAGACGGCAAAAGATTGCATTTGATATCACAGTTCCTGATATAGCAACCACCTGAAGAAGATTACCTGGAAGACAATTACATTAGTCATTAGTTATTAGGCAGTTCTGCCGCAAGTAAATTTTGCGTAGGAGGCGGCGTCAATATGACTTAAACACCCTGCATTCACCAATCTACTAGGCAACCTGTCGTCCGCCCAAGATTTAGCAAAATACATGGTACACTCCCTGAAATGATAAGTGAAGTGGAGTTCACCACCTGTTTGTAGAAGAAACTGGTCACCCCAGGGGCTTGATTCTTGATAGAAGAAAAACAACAATTGCAAAAGAAACCGCCTGTTGACGGAAACGTTTGCAAACCAGGTTGTAACGCCAAAATCAACACCCCCCTATCCAGCCTCCTCTGCCTCCTGCCACTCCCCACGGGCGGAAAGCCGGTGCAGGTTGTGACGTGGGAAAACCTACGGGAAAAACCACTGGTGGAAGAAATCCTACCCCACCAGAAGCAAACCCAAACACTGCAAACAATTGCGATCCTTTTTCATGTTTGTTTCGTTTTGGGTGAACAACTTCTCCGTTCAACGTTGTGAAGCTTTCAACATCTACGCAAGGGGGGTCAATGCAAAGACAAGGGCATGCCTGTTCCCCAAAGCAAGTGAACAATCACACAGGGTTACCCCTGTGAATGGATGAGATCTACTGTCATTGGGCTGGATGAGCCTATCACCGGATGTAAAGGGAACATGATCAACTCCACTAAACCACGGAGTTTCCGAATACGTTTTCGGGCAAGTTCGAGAATATGTTTCACCAATGGAAGCTATATCCAAAACTTATAGTTCCAGTCCCATGGCCAGGAGTTCCGACGGTGGCTTATAACAGCACACATCAGGTTGCGGCTGAGTGTGCAAGCGGCACGTCAATCACGTCCCTTGGCCGATGAAGACATCACGTCAATCACGTCGCTCATGGGTCATGTTTCACTGAAGAAACGTCCCCCCAACAAACGCAACTCACGTAGTCAATCAGCTATACACATGGATTTTGTAGAGTCCTAGTCGGTCAATCAATCACTCATCACCCTCATCAACCCAATACCCTTCCTCAAAGTAGTGACTAACTGTCTTCTTCGGGGGAATGTGCCTTCAGGGAGGTAAAACCCAAGGTCTTGAGCAAGCTTTCAATGGGCCTGTTACAAACAAAACACATCTGTGCCGTGCCCAGGCCAAAAACAACTCAGATTCTACCCTGTTTGGATGCATGTCTTATATTATGCTTGCCAAAGCAAAAAAATGGAGACTCATTTCGCATTCCACTTTCAGGAAATCCTCTTGTTTGGATCAGGCTTTTCGCTTGAGGATCGCCTTTCCCGGTTTTCCTTCCAATGGCCCCACCGCATCCGTTGGGGAGAGCGAGCGCAGCTCGCGCCTCGAGTTCCTCGCCTGGCAGGGCTTCCTGTGGATGAATCGGATGAGCGAGGAAGACGACGTTTGGAGCCGATCGGATCCGTTTTGGATGAAAAAATCCCCCAATCACTGGCTCGTGGCAGGGGTGATTGATTGTGAAAACAACTGTTTACAATATCAATGTCCTGGTCTCAAACATCATTACACAATCAAAACCCCTAACCAACCAAAAACATCCAAAAACTACAGAATCAATACACTGAATGTCGAGAAACACATCAAAACTTACTACGAAATCTAGAGACCCAGGGCAGCCCCGAACACATTTCCGAGAAGAAACCGGTTTACAAAATTGCATCCTTGACATGCACAACAACATGCTTTGTACAGAATCATTTTCCCAACATACCCTTGGTCTTCACTTGATGTGTCTTTGTTAGGTCCAAAGATGTCCAAAGTGATTTTGTAAAGTGGTCTCTTTGTCAGCGCCAGATAGAATCTCTTCAGAATCATCCCCCCCACTTGCAAAAGCCAGATTGAAAAGCCATCTAAACCATCTCTGATTCTACAGAACCAATTACCTCACCTACCCCTCCAAACTCAGATCAATTCTTTACACAATTGCATCCTTGGCCTGCATACCCTAAACAAGTCAGATGTTAGCTGTACAAAACTTAGGCTAACATCTGCAGCACCCAAACCCCCATGATTTTGTAGAGGTTATTTTCAGGGGGATAACCAAAAACGTCTTCCTTCGTTTCCCGGGTGCGAAGGGACGGTACCACCACAGAATCGGGGTAGCAAGCAGGGTTCTTCTCGGGTCCCAACTAGGTGCGTAAGTCAGATGGGTCCCAATGAAGCCGGCCAAATGGATGGGTTGTTCCATGCAAGTGACACTCATTATGGCAGATCATGATGCCATGTGTCTGTCATTATGTTCGAGAAACACCAGGAAAAAAACCATGGGAAACACCATCCGTGGTCCGGTTCCCGTTCCACTCGTTAGGAACAAAGGAACAAACCACATGGTCCGAAAACTTACTTGGGTCCCCCAGTGTCCCCCAGATCCTGAAAATGGGCAGTGAAGTGCTGGTGGCTGATCCTGCGGAACTCGAACAGCAGCCTTTTGATGCAGTCTCCAGCCACACGAACTCGCTCCGGAGTGTGACGCAAAATAAGCAAGAAGGCATGCAGGGCCCCAATGCCGAAGCTTTAACTGAAACTCTTGAGAAAGAGTTGGCATGAGTTGGCCTGTATATATATATATATTACTATATTATTACTATTATTACATGCATGTTTTACCACAGCTTGATCTCCCCGATGTGCCCCCCCCAACGGCTCCCCGATACGCTCATAGAACATCTGTCACCCCCACCTCATGGTCCTTGGCCCCCTCCAAACAAGCTAGATTTGCTCCAGATTCGTTCCAGTGAACTCCTTGTCCTCTGCATATGGCAACACGGAAGGGAACATCCTCTCCCCCTACTCTGGCAGCTCCTATGCTTTTGGAACATGGCGTCATACCTTGAGTGATACCCCACAGTGAGCTCTTACCCTGTCCCGTCACATCAAACACCTACAAGCAAACTCACAGTGCTGGCCTCCAAGGCCCCCCTTGTGTAAGCTTACCCCCATGCAGAACTTCCTCAAATTTCAATGGCTGGGCGTGGCAAAGCACCATCTAAACCACCAGGCTTGGGAAGAATATAGAATCAGCAAGTTTGTCATTGTTCAATACCAATCAACAAGCACCAAGGCGCCAATCAACAAGCACCATCCAACCACCAGGCTTGCTGCTTGTCATTGTTGATTGGTATTTTCACGTTGCATCAGCAAGCTGGAAGGACGCCCCAGGAATGCACCGAACCAACATGTCCATGGGCAGCCCATGGTCACAAACCCAATAACCTGATCCCGGCTGTAAACCCACCACCGGTGCTTCTAGAACACATCCACAATGTATCCATCAGGAAGCTGAAACCCATGAATTCGGGGTCAACCCTTGTGAACCATGTGCTTTAAAGCCACGCGGAAATGGAGCATATTGACATGTCCAGGGTACGAAAAAAGTCGGCATCCACTGGTTCCGATGTGACATGAATTTGAAGCATAGATCCTAAATTGTAAACAAGCGGATTGATTAGCACATGTTAGTAGCAGTAGCATAGTCCTATGTACCTCTATATATAAGCTTAATTGATCTTGGCATCAAATAAATTCTCAGGCTCAGGGCCCAAATGGTGGTGCCCAACAGCCACGGATTCTCCAGCTGTTGGCGAAGCAGCGGTGCAGGTTGGCAGCCAACGCAAAACGGTTTTCAATTGGAGTCCCGTATTTGGACATGTTGGGCTTGCTTTGGTCGCACGAATCAGTGACAGGTAAGTTGGAACACTCGAACACCTAAGAATGCATTGATGCGCGTTCAGCCGCACATTGGATGTTCATGGATGTTCCATGCAAGTTTATTGCATCCTTTTGCCAATTGCCGTCAATGTGTTGAGCCAAACTAAGTCGGAGTACTTGTTTTCAGAGGATCTCTCATGACTACGGTGGGGTTACGATGGAACGCACTCTCCAAAGTCGGAGCTCCCTGGAGTACAAGCTGCTGCAGGGTGACGAACATAGTGCTGTCCCACGGTGAAGAAGAGGGAGTCTCCCAAAGTCTGCACAACCCAGCCCGTACAAGCAGCAACGCTAAACTATCGCTAAAATCTTAACATATGAAGGCAGTTGGACACAGTAACGCAGCAGCAACACTACACTCAAATGATCTTGGCTGCCCTACACCTGCAGTCAAAGCGCCCAAAAATGGACCGATCTTTTTCAAGTAGGCCAGCCTACTTCAGCCCGGTCCAAGCTTGATGTCCAACGGTTCCTCGGTCCCATCGCCGTCAGGTCGGGCCCCGATGGATGTACTAGTTACTGACTACACATGGAACCTGAAGATGGTTCCTCTTACAAGACTATTTTAATCTACAAGCCAGTGGTTATCCGGTTCCATGTTAGTTTTCTGAAGTGTACCAATAGCAAAGAGAACCTAGAAGCGATGGCCTCCAACCTAGAAGCAATTGCCTCCAACCTAAGAGCGACGGCCTCCAACCTAGAAGCAATGGCCTCCAACCGAATAGCGATGGCCTCCAACATCCTCCAACCAAATAGTGATGGCCTCCAACCTAATGTTACTTGGGTCTTGGGTTTTACAAACAGTCATCGTCTATATAGTCAATGATGAAGGTGATGATCAATCGCTCACCAAGTGTTAGCATCTTCTTTTCCCCGTTGAGATGGCCGGGGTGGCCTCACCCTCCCAAACAAAACTAACAAGTGGGCTCCCTTCTTTGGACATGCTTCAGCCAGCACCATCCATGCTTCTTCGATCATTTGTGCAGTTGTATTTTTTGCATCGAATCTCTCAAGCAACCTCCATACTTCGTCGACTCGTGTCATGATACCCAGTACGGCTAAGCATCCCCCCCACGCTGGAATTGTTGATCACTTAAAATACCTGACAACTCTGACAACCCCTAAGTTGTTCCACTAGTTAATGCAAATATAGGGTATATCCTGGCATATCCCACTACCACTACCAGTGCAGGATGATGGCGTGTATTTGACCTTTCTATACCATCTATACCTTGCACTATACCTTGCTCAGAAATACTCATCAATACATATCAATACTGACCATCATATATTACCCAACCTTGCCGGTGTGTCCTGGCACACCCCTTCAAACATAGAGGAAAAAGGACATATCCCGTCGATACTCCCGCCGATCTCTGTGCACGACCGGGCCACAAACCTAACCTTCATCCGGGCTCGAGCCGCTGGGAAAGCATAAGAAGTCTGAAACAAGCAGCACAGTTGAACAATTCTGCCAAACAGTCTCGCAGGCACAAAGAAAAAGAAACAACACATAATCAAACACACCATCAACCCTTTCAAGATCTTCATCTTTTCAGAGCATCTTCCAAAATTCCATACCACTAGAAGTACTGTACTCGTGTGGACTCGTTCTTTCCTTCTCTTTCTCCCAGGCACCGAAAGCCACGGCCGCGTGGTGCTTCTGCGCTTCCGGGGACAGGTCGGTGTACCGCGCGCCGCCCACCTGCGACGCGTCACGCCCACGGCACAGCGAAGGACGACGAGGGGCGTCCTCCACCGACCAAGGCCGCGCGAGGCGAATGGGTGATGAAACGCATCGTTCTAAGGCACTTCCGGTGTTTGGGATCGTTATGGGGATCGTTTTGGGGATCGTTTTGGCGTTGGATATTGCTGAGAGATCTGTACCTTTTTCTGTTTGTGGCGTTGGTCATTTCAGGGCGCTCTTTGCACGAGTCCAGTCCACGAGTGCGTGAGCGGATCGGATCGCCCAGGCACGTTGGGAATGGCCGTGTGACGTTAGCTGAAGAGTTCGGTCGAGTGTCCGGAGACCGGGTGGCCAACGAAAAAAACCACCTCACCGCGGCCAGTCGAAGTGTTTTTTCTACCCCTCCCTGCATCTCCCAGTGCGTGGACGGGGGTCCCCAGTTCCAAAGGTGTTCCACTGATTGTTGGGGGGGTGGTGTACGTGGAAAACTCGACATGGACCTTGAAAACCGGCATGGTTTCTAGAGGAAAACAGTGTTGAACTCCAGGTCTCATGTTCAGCGTGACCGCGGATGAAGGGACGATCAAATCTGAAGGCAGGCCTCGGCCCTACCGTGCTGCACTAGTAACAAAGGCATTTCTACTAGGAGCAAGGACGCTACTGGTAGCTCCTGGCATCAGTGCTAGGAGGCTAGGAGCAAGAAGCTACTAGCTGTAAGAAGGGCGTCGCTACTAGGCCTCAGCACTAAAGTTCACCGCGACGTCTGAGAAAGCCTGCTTGTACCTCAGCGTGATGGCGACGAACAGGGGTGTGAACACAGATGGCACAAAGAGCCAAAGGCAACATGTGTTCAAGCTACTTGCAATTGCTCTACTTGATGTGTTTATGGTTCTTGACATGACCATTCCATCGGCCGGGGGCAGGTGGGACCAAAGAGCCAAAGGTGGGACCATAGA